TCGCCTGATCCTTGCTCTGCTCCTTACGCACATGATATTGTATTTATTCATGGGGTGCTTAAAGTCCAGGCCATCTCCCAGGCCCCGCTCCTGACGGGCGGCATGCAGCCATCCTGGAAATGAACTGGAAACAGCTTTGTGCCGCCGGCCACCGGCGTGGTGCTTGGGGAACCCGTCAGGCCCTGGACACTGCCGGTTCCCCTTGGTGTGTACAGAGCCCACCGCCCTGAGTGAGGGGGTGGGGTCCCAGCTCCAGCTGTGGGGCGGGGCTGGGGAGGGGAAGGGGTGATGCGTCGTCGGGCTGCCTGGACAGGACCTGGCCTCCTGATGGAGTGGCCCTTCTCTGCTCTCAGGTCTTTCTTGCACTAAAAAGGAGAACGGGCCCTGGACGACGGGGCAGGAAGCTGGAGTTCTGCTTCTGGGCTGGGTCGTAGCTAAGGGGCTCTTCCTGGGTAGAGGTCGGAGCCGGGAAGAGCAGTAGGGGTGGTCCTGAGCTGTTTGGGGGCAGAGTCCTCCAAACTCGTACTTTCTGGGTATGAGCAAGCCCTCTCGGCAGGGGTCAGCACTGTGCCCACTTTCCGGCTGCCCCCCCACTTCCCCTGGGCCTACAGCATGCCTGGCCCCCGCTCCCCCGACCCTGGGCCCCTTCTCTCTGCCCATCCTGCCTTTCTGAAGACCTGGAGAGGCTGTGGGTCCAGCCCAGGATGCTGGACTTGGCTTGGGTCTGGCCCCTTGGCCGCCTGTCTCGTGTCAGGAGCACAGACCCACCCCAGGCTTTGCGCCTGGGTCCCCGATTCCTCGGTGTCCCCCTCCCCCGGTGTGGACACACTCCCCCAGCAATAAGGACCGTCCGTGGTCATGGAGAGTACTGTGAAAACAAACCAGTGTACTTACCAGGAGGCACAAGACTCTTGAAGAAAATGTAAAATGAACCTTTAAAAACAAAAACAAAAATATTCACAGAGAAATAAAATGTAATTTTAAAGCAGGCCTGGCTAGGACTTGGATGTTTCTGAACTGGCGGTTCATGTTGCGGCTGACGGCGCCATGTTTCTGGCCGTGGGAGTGAATGTTTTTGGGACCGGGGGGGTTCTGGTGCTAAGGGCCCAGGAGGGACCTGGGAGGAGGCAGGCCTCTGCTGATGCCTTCTCAGCCCTGGGACCTCAGTCCCCACCCAAAGTGCTCCTGGCTGGTGCCCTGTGTGGAGGAGGGGTGGCAGGCATGGGGGTGGGGGCAGCTTGGCTTTTTGGCAAACAGGGTTAACGTTCAGATTAGACTTTTACGCAGGACCTGCAGACCTGCATTCGTGAGGAGGCAGCTGCTAGGACACTGTCAGTCTAGCAGATGGCTCTGTGCCCTGCCCTCCGCTAGTGGCTGATGAAAGGGGGCTGTGTGGGGTCGGAGCACTGATAGTTAATGCTGTCTTCTGATCAGACATTCTTACGAAAGGATGGGGGGTGGGGGAGCCTGGAGGTCCTGGAGTGGCTGTGGGCTCTGAACACGGACCATGGGTTCAAGGCCATTTGTGTGAGTTTGGGCGAGACGCTGAGCCCCTCTTACCTTGTATGGAAAGCGGGTAGCTGCCTCCTAGCTGATGTGGTGAGAACACACTGCTCTACTTGGTTTCCAGGTGTTAACTCCCTGAATCCTCACAACAACCCGGGTGCCATTTCACAGATGAGGAAACTGAGGGAGAGCAGGAGGCTGAGAAGCTGCCCGAGGCCGTGCATCTGGGAAGAGGCAGACCCAGGATTCGAACCCCTGCCCCCGAGCCCAAACTCACAGTACTGTGTGCTCTGAGCCTCAGCGTGTCACGGTGGAGTGTCTGTTCAATGCCCAGGAAGTATCGGTGACTACAAGGCCCTAGGCCTTTGGCTCCCTCCATCCTGGGTTCCCTGGGCAGGAAATGCCTTTCTCATCCACCCACACCACTCCCCGGAAGTTTGCAGTTGTGTGCAGTCAGTTTTCCCGCTGCCCACAGAGAGCCTGGCTCGATCCCTTCGAGGAGGGGCTGCCCGGTCAGCGGCAGACCACAGGCTTGTCTGCCAGGGTGGGCGGTGGCTTCTCGGCATTGCCATGGAGCACAAGGGGCCCCCGTTCGCTGTGGGCATCGGGGATTTGGTTTCTTCTCTGGGTTTTCCACGTTGCAGCAACCCAACGGCGCTCTGCATCCTGTCTCCTGGGTCTGAGACACCGCAGAGGAAATGGCGTAATAGACTCCGCTGGCCTCCTCCACCCAGATGGCTTCTGGGTGGTACGGTTCACTGTCGTGGTCTGGCTTGTGGTTGTGGAGTCGGCTCCTGAGTTCTGCCCGTGAGACACCACGGGGTGTGTGTGTGTACGTTTATGTGCCTGTACAAGGGCGAACAGAGAACGAGTGCAGGCCCAGCCAACGGCAGGAGGAAGCTGAACCGGATCCTAGCGGGATAAGGCCCAGGTCGCTCAGGCATTCTAACCTTCATGCAGGCAGGCAGCAGAGCGGGGACGCTCAGACGGCGGCCTGCATTTGGGGGGGACATGTGCAGGGAGGGTGGTTATGAGTCAAGTGGATTCCAAGTGGCATTTAGTCACAGTGGAAGCCCTCCAGCCTCTCAAGCTGACAGCAGGTTAAATTTAGAAGTCCCAGACTGTGATGAAACACAGACACTGGTCTCGAGCCAGCTGTCACAGGAGCCCGGACCTGGGAGAGCTGGCTGTCCGGCTGGGCCAGGCCCACCTGCCTCAAGACATCTGGCCGACGCAGGAGCACCATGATCCTGACCACCGCCTCTGAAGTCACTCTGGGTAGAGCCCAACCTCTGCTCTGAACACGCTCACTGTAGGTTAGCATCTGAGGCCATAAGGAAACCCCATTTGGTCCAAGGAGACAGCTTACTGGGAAGGGCAGAAAGGTGATGGCTGGTGGCGCTCTCAGGCCTCTGGCCATTTCTAGCAGCTCAGGTGTTCTCTGTCACCTCTGGCTTAATCTGTCTCTTGGTTGTCATCTATCCTGCCTGGGCGGCCTCACAGAAACTGTTTCCCAGCTGGCTGGGGTCCCGGCATTCGATTAAGGCAAATATTGTCGGGAGCAACAGGCCACTGAGCACATGTAGTATTCAACGGTGATCCACCCAGATCGTTAGCACACGACTCCTTTTGTACAGACGCACATCCACACAGTGAGCGCCTGGCATTGCCAAGGCCCTTTCCTGTCACCACTGATCACATCGACTGGTGTTTCCTTTACAGGTGAGGAAACTGGCCCTCAGAAAGGGTCGAGGGACTTGCTAAACTAAAGGTCACTCAGCTGGGAAGCTGCAGAGTGGGTGGTTTCAAACAGCCATCTTTTGACCCCACTCTGTCACTACTTTTTCAGCTACACCGCCCGGCTCTTCCACACCCCGATTCTCTGCCCGTAACGGCTCTTTGCTTAAGGTGGCGCAGAAGGCCCGTAGTGTGATGCTGAGTACGCGTCATCAGCAGCCCCGCTGGCACTGGACGACGGAAATTAAGAACGGCGAGAAAACACATCTGAGCGATTGAGCTCTGTCCCAGTGCCTGTGGCCAGGGAGGCAACCCACGCAGCTGCCCTGGGTCCTGGCAGTAGCCAGCCCAGCTCCCGCCTGGGCAGGGCCCGCCCGGCTTGTCCCTGCAGACAGAAACGCACAGACAGGATTAGTTCCTCCATCAGCCTGAGCCCAGTTTAGGTTTAAGTGCCACTGCCCTGGTTCATTTTTTTATCGTCCGTTTTCCAATCAGACAGGTGGAGGGTGGTGCGGCCGGGTGTTTACAGCAAGTAAGACGCAGTCGGAGGCCCTGTGCTATTCTTGGCGGCCACTTGCCTTGCTGAGTGAGGTCGGGCTGGCCGCCTGACCTCGCATGCTGTGGTTTTCCTAATCGGCAAGCCAGGACACGCACACCTGGCCGGTCCTCCAGCTGGAGCCGGCAAAGCGTAGAGGTTGTGCTGAGGGTGGAAATGCACCCGGGCTGCCTGAGAATGGCACTGGGCTGGTGTTTCTAGTAGAGACCAAAGACTTGTCTCTCTTTCAACAAGGCTAAAAGTCGCTGCGACATCCAGACGACAGGACTTGGTTATCTAGGATTCTCAGCATCAAAAAATGCATAGAGCACCAGCCAGCTAGCCAGACGAGTGTATTCAGTTTTTTTTCACAGCTTTGAGAGAATAGTTCACGTACCATACAATTCACCCATTTAGGGTATACGATTCAAGGGTTTTTAGTAAATTCACCGAGTTGTGCAGTCATCACCAATTTGGGGATATTTTCATCATCTCAAACAAAAGGGTTGGTACCTGTTAGCTATCAACCCCCCACCCCCACCCCCACCCCAGCCCTAAGCAACCACTAATCTGCCTTCTATCTCTATAGAGGTCCCCACTCTGGACAGTCTGTGAGTGGGGTCATATGAGGTGTGGTCTGTGTCTGGCTTCCTCCACCCAGCAGTGTTTTCCGGGTTCACCCATGTTGTAGCAAGCATCAGCACTTCTGTGTCACCCAGTGTACTTTTAGTCATCTCCTATGCGTGAGGTCCTTTGCGGGGTGTTGGAGAAGCGGCAGCTCGCAGCACACTGAACCGAAGAGGACCAGTGAAATGTTACCCAGAACTAACGCGATGACCTCTGCAGAGGGCTGTGAAGAGGACTATGATGGGCCCCGCCTGGTCTGGAGGGTCGGGAAGGCTTCCCTGAGGGGGCCCTTTAGTGGAGACTTGGAGAATGGGCCGGAGTGCCTGAGCCTCATGGGAAAGGGGAGAGGACGGGTGTTCTAGAGAGGAAGCAGCGCTGACGAACTGACTGGGGAGACAGCACTTGGATGCCTGGTTAAGGATTTCAAATGTTATTTTAGAGCAACAAGCGAAGCGGGTGCTGGGCTCCATGCTGACTTGGGGCGGGGGTGGGGTGAGGACAAAAGGGAGCGAGACACAGCCGGTGCCTCAGTTTGGGGCCCTTACCACCTTCTCTGGGGGAGAGCACCTGTGGACGCCTCTCTCGACCCTGATTAGCTGTGAACCAGCGGGAGCAGCTCTTTAGAAGGCAGGCGCCCATCACTTATGAATGACCAAGACAAGACGCTGTGGAGGAGACAACCACAGAGTCCACATGCGGAAGTCCCTGCACGTCAGCTGTCCTCCGGGCTTCCCTGGGTTGCATTTCCTGTTCCTGCTGACACAGCTGGGTGGGAGGCAGGAGAGGGTCATGCTGAGCTCACCTGGTTTGCATGGCTGCTGCACCCCACCCTGGCTGTGTGACTTGAGCAGGTGACCTTTGCTCTCAGGTCTTCCTATCCTCAAACATAGAATGGGGATAAAAATGGCTGCTTACCTCACAGGATTCGGGTGGGCATTCAAAGGTCAATGGACACAAAGCACCCACCCAGCACAGTACCCGGCATAGTAAGTGCTCAGGAAATCTGAGCTATTAATACTGGCAAGCCCCTGAGCCTCCGTCTCCTCGTTGCCAGGTGGGACTGTGGTGCTCTTCTCACAGGACAGGACCCAATGGCTCAGCAACACAGCCCTTGGCACAGGGCCTGGCACAGGGCCAGGAGCCCAGTAGGTGTTAGCTGCTACTGACCTTGTCAGCAATTGTTAAATGGTTTTCTTTTTTGTCCCAATTTCAGCTGAGACGGGGAAGGTAAAAAACAATACATGTGGTGTCACTTCCTACTCCCGGGCCCCTCACAGGCTGAGGGACCCAGGAGCACTCCAATCAGCACCTGTCCAATCCCTGCTCAGGTGAGGTATGTGTGGGGTGAGAAAGAAAGGCCGCCTCGGAGAGCGCTGTTTGCAGCCTGTGTGTTTCTCAGGGTAACTTCACTCCAGCCCCTTCCCTCTCGCTCTAAAAACAAAACAAAAGCCTGCTGGGATTTTCATGGGATGGCATTGAATCTATACATCAATTTCGAGAGAAATGGCATCTTAACAATATCGAGTCTTGACAGTCTCTGATTGATGAAGACAGTCCTCCATTTACTTAGGTGTTCTTTAATTTTTAATGTCAGTCAGCAATACTCTGTAGTTTTCAGGGTACAGGTCTTGTACATCTTTTGTCAGGCTTATACCTAAGTAATTTATATATTCGATGCTACTGTAAATGGTATTGGCTTTTAAAATTTCAATTTCTGATTATTCATTGCTAGTATGTAGAAATATTTTTTTCGTATATTAAGCATATATCCTGCAACCTTGCTAAAAAGTCACTTACTAGTTTTAGTTTGGATTTTTTTCAATAGACTTCATAGAATTTTCTATATAGATGATCATGTTATCTGTGAACAAATTGTAACTTCTCCCTTTCTAATCTGGATGCCTTTGCTTTTCTTGCCTCAGCACATCGGCTAGTTCTTCCTGTACGATGTTGGGCTGAAGCAGTGAGAACGGACATTCTTGCCTTGTTCCTGATCTGGGGTGAAAACATTCTTTCAATTTTCTGGAAGAGTCTGTGTATAATTGGTATTAGTTCTTCCTTAAAAATGTGGTAGAATTCACTGGGGAAGCCATTTGGACCTTGAATTTTCTCTATGAGAAAGTTTTAGATGACAAATGACTTCAATAGCTATAAGGCTATTTGGGTTATCTATTTCTTCATGAGTTTTGATAGTTGGTCTTTTTCAAGGAATTTGTCTATTTCATCTCAGCTGTTGAATCTATTGGCATAAAGATACTCATAATATGCCAACTGTCCTTTTAATATCTGAAGAATCTTAGTGATGTTACCTTTCTCATTCATGACATTGGTAATGTGTGTCGTCTTTTCTTCCCTGATCAGTGTGGCTAGAAGTTTATCAATTTAATTGATTTTTTTCAAAGAACCAGTTCTTGGCTTCATTGATTTCCTTTTCATCTTGTTTTCTATTTTGCTAATTTTTGCTCTGATCGCTATTCCTTTCTTCTGCCTATCTTGAGCTTCATTACTTTTCTTTCTCTAGTTTTCTTTTTTTTAAGGAGTTTTTTTTCCCCCAAGATTTTTTTATTGGGGAATTGGGGGAGGGGAACGGCATTGGGGAATTGGGGAAGGGGAACAGACAAGTTGCTGTCCTTTGGTTCTTCAGTCTAGTTGTGGAGGACGTCGCTTCACTGTCCCATGTTGGTATGATCATTGCGCTTTTCCCGGATTAGGAAGTCGCTTGCTGGCCATTGGACGGCTGCTTAAGGCAGCTCACGAAAGCTCACGCCCGCTGCCGGCCACTCACAGCAGCTTATGGGAGCCCACTGCAGCCCCACTGCAGCCTACGCCGTTGCCAGCCACTCTCGGCTGCCCAGCTCCAGGTCAAGCTGTTGTTCACCATCTTAGCTGTAGAGGGCGCAGCGTCACTGACCCTCATGTGGGATCCAAACTGGGGCCCTGCTGCTCAGAGCTGGCGTCCCAAGCGAACTCTTAACCAATGTGCCACTCGGCTGGCCCGTTCTGTTTCTAGTTTCTTAGACAGCCTTCTTCTTTTTCAAATATAGGCATTTTCGTGCTATAAATTTCCCTCTATGTACAGCTTTAGCCTCACAAGCTGTGGTTGGTTGTTTTCATTTTTCAATTAAAAATATTTTCCAATTTCTTTTTAAATATCTTCTTTGAATCATGGGTTATATAAAAATGTTATTTAGCTTCCAAATATTTGGGGATTCCCCAGATATCTGTTATTGATTTCTAATTTAATTCGGCTGTGGTCAGGGAACATATTTTGTTTAAGACTTGACTGCTTTCAAATTTACTGAGACTTGTTTTGTGACTCACAATGCGGTCTATCTTGGTATTTGTGTACACTTGAAAAGGACATATATTCTACTGTGTTGGGTGGAGTGTTCTGCAAATGCCAACTAGTTCCAAGTTGGTTGATAGTGTTGTTCACGTCTTCTATAGTCTTACTATTTTGGTGCCACTTCTATTTAATTATTGATTTTTATGGCGTGGTTGAATATGTGGAGATAAAATATTTACCACAAGTTTGACTGTGGATATTTTCCTTAACCAGTAAACACTTATTGCACAAGCTGACACATCATATACGTGTATCTTTTTACGTCACAATGCTCTGAGAAAGATTTTACCTCTGGGCAGCCATCTCATTTGTTTGGGAATATAAACAGATAATAGAGCAAGCGTCTCAGGTCTTGCAACAAACTCGTTTTAGCTGCTCACTTATAGCTATATACTAATAAGTGCAAGGGTCATTCTGTGCAGTAAAAGGGAAGTGGGCCAGGAACGGGGAACTTAACATTGTGCCCTCACTGTAATAAATGATTATAATAATACCAGCTTTATATACAACATCTCATTTAATCCTCAACAAATCTAGATGAATGTATTACCATTCCCTCTTTTTATAGATGATGGAACTAGGGCTCAGAGAGGTTAAGTGACCTGCCTGAAACCACACAGCTAGGATAGGCTTCAAGTCCAGGCATACCCAGTGTTAACCAATAAACAATGTATGGGATTGAGTCACTTTCTTCCCCTTTTTGGGTCTCAATTCCCTTCTATGTTCAAGGGGGAAATTGGAAAGGATAATCTTTAGCCCTAAAATGTGGGATTCCCGCATGCGCCAGCTGTGCTGTGTGCCAGGGCCATGGAAGGGAACACACATCCTACGGCCAGCAACACTCTCGGTGAGAAAAAGGCTGGGTGACAGGTGTGTGGCTGGAACAGCCAGGGAGCCACACGCAGGAAATCGGGCACATCGATAAACGCTTTTGGATGATGACACTGGTCCCGCCATCTGTGATGCTGACAGCCACACTTGGCTTGAATGTCTCAGTGATGATATTTATTCGTTTCCAGAATGGCTCAAAATGAAAAAAGACCATATAGACGAGAGTCAGGAGCTGGCCAGGTCAGATGCCTGAAGCCTGAGTGGGGAAGAGGGTCCAGACCTGAACTCAGCTCACAGTAATCGCCAGCACTTGGCAACGGAGGCGCTCGGCCCCCATGGGCCCTGGGCAGCAGCGTCTGCGGGAGGAATTCAGGCTGCACTGTCAAATCACCATATGCAGAACATGCTAACATAATTATAATAGTTTCATTTCCCTACACCAGGGCAAATCTTGTTCCCTAAAACACAGAGAATGAAACTGATTTAAAAGCAAACATCCCAAGACTCTAGAATTCTAAATGCTTCTGAAAATGTTGGCTGGTGACAATTAAGCTGTTTCATCAGCACATACAGCCCTTCTGTCAGCTGCAGCCAGTGACTCAGGATTCAGCACGCCAACCCTTCCTGCTCCTCCTGTACTCTGCCCCCCCACCCCGCCCCAGACCCCCTTGGCCAACTGGAGAGCTCAGGAATAGTAGGATTAGCAAGGGGTGGGGCTCCGAGGGGCTCTAGTGGGGTGTGGACTGTTCTCGCCTGCAGGGAAGGAAACCTATAGACGGACGGGGGTCCGGGTGACCCTTTCCTGGGGGCTCGCTCTGCACCCTCCTGGGCCAGGGTGAGGCTGAGGGGGAGACAAAGGCAAGAAATCTTTCAGCGAGGCCCTATCCCTCTTTTGGGTGTCCTGGTCCTGAAGCGAGCACTGCTGTTCCGCTCTGGGATTGGACGAAAATACTGTGGGCGTGTACCCAGGGCAGGGGGGCACCGGAGCTTGTCTCCTTGGGCTGGGTGGCTACAGTTCCTGGTTTCACTGTGAAGCCACAGAAGCCACCTGTGGATGGCCGGGGACTATGGCTGGCACCATCCTGCACCCTGTGCATACTTGCCCTGTGAGGTATGTGGCATCTGCCCTATTTGAGCTTGGGCCACATGACACTTGTTCCAGTGGGGAAGCATCAGAGGCTCGTCCCCAGGTCTGTGTCCAGCTTCTGCTCTCTGTCACCCACTGTGTGCCACTGACAGCTGCTCCGGCCCCAAGCTAGCACCTCCCTGGGCTGCAGTGACGGCTGTGGGGGCTCTGCTCAGCTCGAGCAGCGGGCACTAGAGCCAGTCCCTGGGCCTGGCTCTGACACTGGCCTTGCTGTGTGGCCCTGTCCCTGCCCCCACCCCCTTTGTCCTCTCCTGCTGGGGTCTGGCTTTTGAGGAAGTGCTGGCTTCTTTTTGAGAAGCCAATCCGGGGTAGCATTTATCCCAGTTCTTGACTCTCAGTGTCCTGGTGCTGTCAGGCAGGACAGACAAGGCCGGCATGGTCCCTGCCCTCATGGAGCTGTTTAGCGGGCGGGGGACAGACTAGATAAACAAATCAACCAACCAACCACACAAATAATTTATGCCTCTGACTAGCAGTGCAGTTGGACAGGAGAACACGAAGTGGGAGCTGCTGGGTCTGAGCAGGGCTGGCCGCCCGGGGAAGGTGTCCCGGAACGTGGAGTTATTGAAACTGAGACCTGTGAGTGAGCAGGTCTAGCACGGGGCACTGCAGCCGAGGATGGAAGGCCAGAGGTGGGCAGGGGGAGAACGGGCCATTGGAGGCACAGAGCCAGTGCAGAGAGGCCTGGAGAGTGAGGCAAGAGGGACTGATGTGACCGGCAGGCCACGGCAAGGATTCCCAGTGGAAGGCCGAGCCGGGCGTGGCTGTGAGAACCAGCCTCGGGGGCTTTCCTCCCAGTCCAGGACTCCTGGTACCCAGGAGAGGTCGGCAGGAACAGTGCTGGAGGGATGTCGTGAGAGGAGAGGTGGGCCTGCTCCACCGCCACGAGCTGCTGTGGGCCCCTGCCTGCCGCCCTCTCCCACACAGACTCTTTCTTCGCAGCTGGTGATCTAGGGCTGAAAACAATGCGGAGAATCTCCGGCCAGGGCTGTGGAATGGATGGGGTTCTATTTATAAGCAGAGAGGGGCTGAACAATGGAGCAACTGCCGCCTCAGTCACTGGGTCTGTGGCCTGACCTCCTGGGGGACTCTGGAAAACCTCAAAGCCAGACCCCGGAAGAGGCAGCAGAGGAAGGAGGATTAGACAGCTGCAGGGCGCGGGGCCAGCTGCTCCCTCCAGGATCTGATCACCATCAGAAGGCGGTGAGCAAGCCCCCATTTGTGCACGGTGTGTGCTAACACGGGCTAAGGAGACTCAGCCTCTGCCCCGGCCCTCCCCGGGGTGGTGGTTTAGACAGACAATGACCGCGCACAAGGGTGGAGCCAGCGGGACGGGTCAAGTAACTACACAATAGGCAGGACGCCTGCCGTGGCCCATGTGCAATGCCGGCTCATTTTCACAGGGCAGACAGGACACAGCGTGATAAGGGGCTTGGCAGTGTCGCTGGCACAAGTGTCCAAGCATTTCTTTGAAAATGAATGACCACCTTGGGGAATGGCGGCTGGCCCGGGCCTAGCAGACGGTGGGGGGTGGAGGGGGTGCTGTGGCACAGGACAGGGCAGGAGGCACAGCCCCGGTTCCCGGTGGCTCCCTCACTACCTGGCTCGAAGCTCAGTAAACTGCTTCCTTTCTCAGCCTCACGTTCTCATCTGGAAGACGTGGGTTCTAGTATCGAATAGCTCGTAGGTTAAATGGGAAAATGTCCCAGTAGCACTTAGGATAGACAGCACCTGGCACACTGGAAGCGCTCGATGAATGATCACTACTGTTAAAACTGAATACACTTGACGCCTGAACAACGCGCAGGGGGTGGGGGTCAGGGGTGCAGACCACCCATGTGTAACTGAAGTCAGGCCTTTAAATACGCGGATTCCCCACTGAGGACCGAAAGCACAGTTGACCCTTACACGGGTTTGAAGTGCGTGGGTTGTGGGCTGACTGCACAAACGGGGGAGCGTGCGTTAGAAGCAGCCTCCCAGAGGTAAGCTAAGCTTTCGTCCTGCAGCAATGAGGAGCGTTCGCAGGATGAGTTCCAGGACTCCGGCTCCAGCGGAAAGGTTCCAAGGTTAAGAAGATCTGGTAATGGCAGACTATGTCAGTTTATTGATTTACAAAGCAAATGTGAATATTAAAGGCTCAAGAGAGTCCTTTGATAAAAAGAGCTATTACATTTGTTCTGTCCATTTCTTTCCCCAACTTAGGTGACCGTGGGGCCGTTTTGTTTTGGCTCAGTATGAACGTCTCACAGGAAACAATGTGCAGGAAGGAGTTTGGGGACTAAAACAGTGTCAGAGTCCAATTGCCTTTGTCCACACGTGAGTGACAAACAGACACATCAGGGGGAAGAGAGCAGGATGGAGAGCACCCTGCCCTGAGTCCCACCCAGCAGGCGACGCCTAAAGGGACGCAGAGCCTAACAGCCAGCAACGCGTAGCCGCGCTGGCCAGGGGCTCGTGAGAAGCTGCACGAGAACCCGCGAGTTGATGAAACTGGAGAAAAGGCCCGGAGTCAAGCTTGGGAGGACACAGGGACACTGCCCCTCGTCCTATAGTAAGTTGTCACACAGGACTACTCGGTGACGGGAGAGCAGGAGCGAGCCACACCGGGAGACACAGGATGAGGGCCAGGTAGGTCCTGTCCTCCCACCTGTGAAGCTGCGCGGGGGGGAGGGCGAGGGGGGCCTCACAGAGGCGGCATGCAAAAGTGGATAGGCAGGAGGTGACAGCCCACCTGTGCTTTCATATATTTTTTTGATCAGGTGCCCAAAGAGTGGCTGAAATTTAAACTCGGTGTCCGTCACTAACAATTTCAGGAAGATCCCTACCCCTGGATTCGTGGCAAAACAAACATGTCCATGGGAGGAGACAGGCTCTCTTTCAGATGCTCCCAGGGTGCGGGGGGTGGGGAAAGAGGTATTTATAGTTATTGTGGTTAAATGGTTTCTCAAAATGTGGTCCACGGACCATCTGGGTTGGAATCACCGGCAGCGCTTGTCAAATGCGCATTGCGGCCCCGCCGAGCTCGCACAACCGGGCACTCATGCGTCAGCACTTCGTCGAGTGAGGGCCGTGTGGCCCTGTGCTTCATAAGGGGTCCCACAGGTGGGTGGAAGGTGCCCCCAAGGACTGTTTACCCCGCATGTAGGGCGAGGTCTTGTAAGGCGAGAACAGTCTCCATGAAGTGAGAGCCTGCATTGTACCAGTACTCTACGTACACCGATCACCTCATTTAATTCTCACGAGCAGCCCCCAAGATTGGCATTCAAATCTCCATTTACCACTGAGGGAAAAGCCCTCCTGACACAAGGAGGCCAAGTGCCTGGTTCCGGTCTCAGAGCTGGTGAGGGTGAGGGTCACGGTCAGCGGCAGCCCGCACGGTCCACGCCCTATCCGGAGTGCCTGACCTAGAAACGCCTCTGGAGGCTGCCAGAGGGCGGGACGGCACTGGGGGACCCTTGCTCAGGTATGTCAGCCTGAAAGGGGACTTGTACACATGCCCATTTTGTCATGGGGGTTCCTCCTGTCCCTGAGAACCTGATTCACGGCTCCAACCCCATGCTGCCATCTGAAGCACCAGGTATGAGCACACGACATTTACATCTGGAAAAGCCAACCAAAACACAACTCATTAAGCCGCCTTCCCCCTTTCCTTCCTGCCTTTCCTGAGTTACACAAGCAGAAATAAATGAAGCCAACTGTGACTGCCTCCCGCCACTGCAGCCGACTCTCTGAGAGCTGGGTGGGGCGGCCTCCTGGGCCCACTGAGCAGCTGTGGTCCCTTCCTCTCACTGGACACCATCCCCACTCTCACCCAGCCCTCCGCCCGCCCCTACCGGGAAAGGCCCACGCCCGGCTGTCTCCTCCCTGGGCAGGCTGGAGCCACCGTGCATTCCCTACCCGGCATCCTGGGAGGTTGGGTTTCAGGGGATGCATGCTGAGATGACCCCCACCACCTACCAGTGTAATCGACCCCAAAAAAGGAACTCAGAGGGGCTCACGCATCAGCAGTGAGTGGTGGGGGTGTTATCTGGCCGAGCACAGCTGATATGGCCTTATGGACAGATGTCACATGCCACCTCCATGGAGGAGCAACACAGAGAATTTGAGGTCAAGGGTTTAGGCCAAACCAGATTCTATTTATAAAACCGCCTCCGGGGGAAACAGACAGGCAGGAGACTGGCTCAGTCTGGGTGCTGGTCGACAGGATGCCATGCCAAGGCAGAAGTTACCTAGCCACAGTGGTCTCTTTGAAGCGAGGTCCTCTGTCACGAGCTTTTCCCATCCAAATTTGAGTTCCTCTGTCTCAAGATGGCCCCCGTGTACAAACTAAGGAGCTCACATATGGGAGGAACAAACTTCGTGCCTACCTGTGTGGGTGTCTTGGGGACTGTCTGTGCCCCATGGCTGAGGGGGCCTCATGTGAGAACAGGTGAGGACAGGCTCTTCAATTCCGCAAGGATCAAAAAAAGGTACATGTTAAAACATCGAAGTCCAATCTCTTGGAAAGAGGCAGATGCCCTAATTAATAGAAGTCTGACAGACACCCAACTCCTGTCTCATAAACCAGAGAGCAGCTAAGTCACCAGAGACGCCCATGCACTAATTCTGGTTTGGGGTTCCCGGCACCTAGCAGTGCTGTCCTACGAGGCTCGTCTCCTGATGAGCGGAAGAAATCACTGAGCTCAACGCTGCAGGTGCCCAGGCCCAGTTTCAGCCCAACCGAATTGGAACCCGCAAAACTGGGGCTTTGTGAGTGTGGGGTCCTGGCAGAGTGGGGGACCAGCAGACCAGGCTGTGGCACGGGGGACCCTGACAAGCCGACAGAACCAGCATGGCCACATTGGCTGTAACGTGACAAATTAAGTCACCCGGGAAACTTTTATTAAAACATTTCAAAAGACAGCTTCCCAACATGTAAAGCTCTAAACAACTGTCCCTTTGCGACCCTCCCTGCTCGTAAACCAGGCCGAAGCACTGGCAGAGTCTGGGCCGGGAAGAGGAACAAATTCTTGCACCTACTTTGGACGTGAGGCAGCCCTTGCTCGTCAGCTACTGTCACGTCACAGGCCCGAGAAACAAAGCACGCCCAGGTCCAAAACACAGCATCCCTGGCACGTAAGACTCAAGTCCTGCTCTCCAGGCCGTCCTCGCAGACACTCCGTCGTGGTGCTGGCAGATGCAACGTCTCAACTCCTGGGTCTACCCAAGGGTTATCTGCACCGAGGTTAACAGACAGCGGGCCAGGCATGGTGACCAATGTCACTGTCACCTACTGGAGATAAAGGATGTCTTCTCCATCAGCTGCCCACCTCCTCTGTAGCGCAGAAGAGCTGAGCTATAAAACACACAGCGCCTGAGAGCTGAACGAGAAGACAAGTTCACGGGTCTGTCCAGGGCGGCACACCCGTCCCCATCACTCAATGGTCTGGTTTCCAGGTTTGCCTCACAGCTACCTTCATTCTAAGGTGCCACCACCTCTCTACCTCTCCTGGAACTCTGCTGACACCTGAGCAAGCGAGTTTCTCCCTTCCAACCAATCAAAAAGCTGGCACTTTGCGCGTCCTGATATCCAACAGCAAAAAGGTCACAAAAAGGAGGTACCAAGGTACAGCCTCAAAAAGGTGACTGGCCAGCACTTGACCTTGTCCCTCTGTGGGGAGCCCTGAGCCTGAGAAGACGGGGAAGCTCCTGCCCTGTGTCCTCGTTCACTGATACCCATGCTCGTCACTTTTGGGGCCACCTGAAGTCACACACTGCCGGCCAACGGAAGGCTGCCCAGGTCTCTCAGCCACAGAAATGAGGAAACCTCTCTCCTTAGCTGAAAAAACGCACGCACATTGTGTATGGAAACAAATCAAACAGTTTAATAGCAGGGGTGGGGGGTGGGGAGGGGACAACCAACACGAAGTATAAAACAGAAAGCATCTCTAGAGCTCTGGTTTCTGCTATTTCTTTCTGGGGGTGTCTCAACGAGAACATCCACTTTAAAGGGCGGCATCAGGGTTTCTCAGTGAAGAGGCGCTGAGAAGGCAGTTGGTCACAGGAACCGAAAGGGACACGGACACCCACTCAGCTTCTCCAGCCACCAAAGCCCTGGACAGACCTGCAAGGAAGCGCCGGGAGAGGCAGATCAGCTCCTGCTCTGACCGAGGGCGGGCCTCGGGGCTCACGCAGCTGCCTGTGGTCAACGTCCAGACTCTGAATTTTGATTGTCATGCAATTCTACACAGCAGCACAGTGAGGATCACAGTGAGACTTGGTAATGGGCCCGGGGCACGAAGCTTCTGAGACACCAACAGGGAAAGAGGGAGGGAACCTCTCCAATGCTGCCTTCTGGTCTCTGCTCACCGGGACGTCCCCCCCCTTGTGCGTGGCCGCGGAGGGCGCTAGGCCTGGCACCTCCGGCCACAATCCTGCCAAGATCGGCAAGTCCACAAAACCCCAAACTGACCGCCGAACCCTCGTGCTTCCAGCACAAGCTTTTAACAGGAAAATGTACAACTAGAGCAAGAATTAGCAGGCCGATACTTTCACATACCACACACTCTTCCATCCTTATTTAATGACTCAAAACTGGAGACAGATACTTACGAGTTGGATGATCCAAAGCTGAATCCTGGAAGAGAGGAAAAGGGTGTATTAACACACACACACCTGAAAGGCTCAGGGCCCAGCCCTCCCCCGTCTATCCCCTGCCGCCTGCAGGCTGGGCAGGAAGGTGGCCTTCGGGTCCCTCCTCCCCCTGCCGGGTGTGGGTAGAGGGTCGCTCGCACGGCCCCTGTCACTTAGCTACACCATGACACACAGCTCCATTTTACTAGGAAAAAGTGTTTTTTCCACTCCCCCACCCACTTGCTTCCTCTTCCTCTCGAGGCCAGAGAAGCAGGTCCCCTGGGTCCTAGGCCGGGCTCTGCTGCTCACTGGCCCCTTGGGGTTTCTGTGTCTTCATCTGTGCACCAGTAACGACGCCTAACTTCTCTGCCTCACGAGTGTGGTGCAAAGATAGAAACAGAACCAGAACATCCACACTCCGCTGTCTGAGGAGAGCGGTAACCAAACGCAACAGCTTCTGAGGGCTTTACATCTTATTTGTCAGTCTGCTGGCTTGGATTTTCAAACCAACATCTAGTAAGATGATTATTGTTTTAGGTTCTCCGATCTTGAGAGAAAATCAAGTCGGTCATTTCTTTATCTGGTAACAAATGGCACAATGGCACAAGTCTAATTAAAACCTAAAAAGAGCATTTTGTCTTTCAAGCACTTTCAGCTTTTAAAACACTAAACTGAATAGCCAGGTGAGCAGCACTCATTTCTCTGGTGTGGGAGGGGGGCAGGGGGAGGGAGAAAAGGCGGAGGGACCACTGTCTGGCTGCTTACCTCCTGTGCTCGATCCAAAGCCAGAGAACCCTCCGCTCTGCGTCCCGAAACCGGAAGTCTGCTGGGACAGAGATCCGAAAGTCGGCGCGTTCTGACCTGCGAGGGTGCCAAAGGAGGTGGTGCTGCTGCTGCTCCCAAACCTGAGAAACCAGACTGTGGTTAGCGGGCCGGCGTGTCACCCTGCTGCCCGAAAGCCTCGAGCCAGCCGCCTCCATCTCAGGAGGCACAACACACGGGAATCGAGGTGACGTGCTTGGCTTAAGCCAGTCTCTCGGAAAGATGGGGCCAGAGCCCACAGCAAACCTTCGCCTCCACCTTGGGAGGAAAGATAACAGGACAATATGAAATCCAGCTTGTCCAGTGTTACTTTTTGTCCAGTCTGGAAATTCCAGGTCACCTGGAAATTACGCAGCACTACGCTGTTTGCTCTTTCTGTCTTCAGTAATTCTTCAGGTTTAGTCCATCATTTTGCATTTCTCATTATTGACAACCCTCGCCCCACGCATCTATCTGCAGCCCCTCTGGGTCGGATCCGATCTACTTCTCGCACTATGAGGCGCCCTCTCCACGCAGACCAGCGCAGGCCTGTTCTCACTGCCCCGTTTCCGGAATGGCCCTGGCGGCCCTGCTCTCGTCCTACTCCCGCCTCGGGCCGCTCCCAAACACCAGCGGGAACTCCTCAGATGTCTGTGGGCTCAGAGAACAGGGACCCGACCAAAGGGGGTGATGATGGGCTCCTTTGGAGATTTTAGTCCGGAGCTGGTCCTCGTCAGCCCTGTTCACCAAACTGGACCTAAGCAGCCAGTCAGGAGTCCCGTGGCAGAGCCCTTCCGAGGCAGAACACGATACTTTGCTGCTAGTAAATAAAATAGCTGGGGGCCGGCCGAGTGGCGCGATGGTTAAGAACTCGCTTGGGATGCCAGAGGGCCCCGGTTCGGATCCCACATATGAGGGCCAGTGACACTGCCCTCCACAGCTAAGATGCTGAACAACAGCTCAACCTGGAGCTGGGCTGCCCTGAGTCGCTGGCGACGGCGTGGGCTGCAGTGCCTGTGGCAGTGGATTGCCATGGGCTACCGTGTGTGGCGAGCGGCCAGCAGCCGCAGTGAGCGGCCGTCCAGAAGCTGGCGACTGATCTGCCTCGCCCGGGAAGAGCGCAATGATGGTGCCAACTTGGGCCAGTGAAGCAATGTCCTCCACAACTAGACTGAAGAACAAAACGACAGCAACTTGTCTGTTCCCCTTTCCCCAATTCCCCAGCACTGTTCCCATCCCCCCAATTCCCCAATAAAAATCTTAAAAAAAAAAAAAAAAAGAAAATAGCTGGTTTCAAATAAATAAAACCTCAAGATTCCCAGTCAACCAAAAAACCTCCCAGCAACTCTGCAATACTCTGTGCTAGGTGGTCACTGGAGAGGTCGGTGTCCTTCGAGACCTGCTGAGGACACTGGCGTCAGTCAGTCCCAAATTTCCCTCAACTTTAACTCTTGGGGTTTCCTGGGGGAACTTAAAGAACCATGAGTTTCTATGGGAAATCCAAGAAGCAAGACACCAACTTGCTCGTGTTCCTTGGAACTTGCCAACATTTCCGCAATAGGTTCTTTCATGGGGGAAACAGATATAAACAGGAACGTAAGTGTATTTTCAAGATAAAGGTGGTATCAACTCACCGAGACTCATCTCAGAACCCTGACAATTCCCCCAACACAATGTCCCCCCCACCCCCCGCACTCCCCCGATCTTTAGCTTTCCATGTCCTGAGCCAGGGCTGAGGGCGAGATCTATTAGAAATGCATTTCAGACCCCAATCCCCTCTTGGGATGAGGCGCTTTGTAGTCATGACCACATGTATTTTATTGGGACTTGGTGGTGTGGGGAAAGCTACTTTCTCCGTGGGGTTTTGGCTACCAGACTGACTTTCTGGGGACCTTAGGAGCCAATGCCTAAAATGCATTTTCAAGTGAAGATGTGCACAAGGCCGCAGGAGCAGCTTTGAACGCTGCGTGACGGTCATCGAGACTCTTAAACGTGCAGGGGCTCGTTAGTGCCCGGCACGGACGCCAGCCCGGGGACTGTGGACGGAACACCCACGCTGGGGCTCAGGAGTGGAGCAGGTGACACAGGAGCTGTGTGCTCACGGAGGATGGTCTAATGCACAACAATCCCGAAAGGAAAGGGTCTGGGGAGAGCTGTGCTCTTCTTTCGGAACGTCCCACACAAGGGGCGAGCGTGGCTACAAAGCAGCCATGGCAGGACTATTGTTATCCCTTTAACCAACCGTTTAGCTCCACCAGAATAGGGGTCTGCCAGCCAGTATTCTACAAACAGGGGACAGCCATGCAGCTGGGGTCCCCGCATGTACTTCGTGGAGTCTGGCCTGGAAGAAATGAGCCTTCCTTCCCCAGGGAGAACAGGAATCCAGGAGCAACTTGTTGGCTGATTTCAATGGAGGGGCCTTTGGCTCAGTCAGGAGTAGAGAAAATGCAAGAACTTCCTTTACAAAACAGGAGTGGTGGTCCCAGTGCTTTTGGCTGGCCTGAGCTTCTGGGTTCCCCAGGCCCCCTTCCCGGGAGGCTTACCCGAATCCTCCTGCGCTGGCAGCCGCAGTACCCTCTCCGAACACTTTGCCTCCCGTCGAGCCCAGAGGGCTTGTAAAGGCTGGGGCTGAACCGAATGCTGGCACCCCTCCAAACCCAGGGGATCCCCCAAAAGTAGGAGGGCTGCCAAACACTGGAGCAGCACCGAAGCCACCTGAGCAAAACAGAGGCAAACAAACAAGGAGAAAGAAGGAGACAGGAAGAGAAGACAGTCAGCAGTGAGAAACCGAATCAAGAGGGAGGAAAAAAGGGAAAACATGTTAGAATTCCAGATACAAAGAACTAAGGGCAACACTTGTTCTATCAGCAAAATAATTAAAACCAAACCAAAGCAACCCACAACCACCAAACCACCTCCCCCCACTTCTAGCAAAGAGGGCTGGGGTCCACTTGGGGAGCGCCTTGGAATTCTAAGAATCCCGCAGGCCCCTGGTTGTTTGTGAGGTCCCCAGTCCCACCCCCCCAGAGGTGAGCTGGACTTGTTGGCTCCAAGTCTTATCAAGTCAGGTCGCTACCAGGAACCAACGTGGTGCATTTCAGGTCCCTTCTCAGCCCCTCTGCTCTGTTTTCAGATTCCTCATTCTAAAGTCATTCTCAAAAACTCCAATCCTGCTCTGACTGTCAAAGATGACAGACAGATTTGATTCCTCATCCCGAGCTGTATGGAAACCCACACGACAACTCAGGAGCTCCAAGTCCCCTCGCAGGGAGAGTCTGACTGGGTTACAGCAGAGATGAAGCCACAAGGCGCTGGCGCTCATCCACGTGCTTTTAATTTATTTAAAGCTAATGGCTCTCACATCTTTCACCACAAGTCTTTCATTCTCTCTCTTTGTCCAGAAGAATTTTTTTTAAATGCTTTCTCGGGGGGGCAGGTGGCAGGGGGGAAAAAAGCTTTCTGCAGTTAGGAACTACTCCTCCTCAATAAAAAAAGCACACCGAATTTCTTCTCTGGAGGAAGGCAGCTGTATAAATATTATAAAACCACCAATCAGCTGTGAGGAGAGCCATCAGAGTCAGAGACTCCCTCTGCAGGCTCCCTGCCCAGCTGCTCACGTGAACACGTGAACACGGGGCAGCCATCGCACAGAAAAGGGTCAGGTGTGCCGAGGCAACCTCCTCTGATTGGCTGAGATGCCCACCAGGTGGGAAGTCAGACCTCCTTCCCTGACTGTCCCTTCTGCTCCTGAGAGGGGTTCCCAAACCCAGAGATACTGTTTAAATCATTCTAGGCTATCGGCAGAGACCCTTATGTCTGCTGAAAGGAAAGGAACGAAACAGTACAAGAAATGTGCCCTAAGGGGGAGTATTTCTTAAAATGAGTATTGGCCTAGGAGCTACACTCGAAAGGGAATGAAGGTGGCCTGGGCGCAAGCAAGGTGATCAGCCCAAGGGGGCAGGGACGCTGTTCTCGTCCCTTTCAGAGAGGGGTCAACCAGGCCCTCTCATTAGATGCATAATCCCACCTCAAGCTCCCGCCACCTGAACCAGGAAAGAGCTGTCAGCTGAATTCTTTAGTGAACTATTATTTTACGATTCAGTCATTTGCTTATTTACCATTGGTAGTGGTGGCACAACTGAGAAGATACTTTCTGCTAAGGCTCATGTTTGGGTTAACATTCTGTATTTTAAAACCTTGAGTGAAATTCCAAGCCATGATAATGGAGACTGTTGGGTTACAAATATAACAGACTGGAAAAAAAAAGTGCTAAAAAACCCTTGCAGATGAATTATTTAAGACCGATCACAGATCTAGTTACACTTTCTTCCTAGACACACAGGGCTCTATCTAGTGCCTTGTACTCCATATTATTCAGACTTGGTGGAAAGTGAGTGAAAAATGAGATGTCACAATGACACAAAGTGAACTAGAGAGGGGAGGGGAGGAGATTAAACACACACACATACACACACGCATGTGCACACACACATGCACACACACATGTGCACACATACACACAGTGCCCCCAAACAACAAACCTGGGCCACAGTTAAGTGAAAAAGGAGACTGGTCGTTCTGGTCTTATTTTTGGAGACAGGCAACTTACGCCTGATGTCAGGAGGGGTTTGATTTTGTTAAGATGCCATATTTTCATGGTTTTCTTCTCCGGAAGAAACAGAAATTTACTAATAATCAATGATAATAAAATCTCTGACTTACTGAGGGCCCTTCCCATGCCAACTATGGTGCCAGGTGCTGTCCAGCTGCTTGCTTTAACCCCCAATAAACCTGGGATCCCTACATCACAGGTGAGGAAACTGAGGCGTGGAGAACATGTCACTTGTCTACGTTTAGCTAACTGGTCAACGGTAGAGCTGGGGTTAGAACAAGGTCTGAGTGACTCAAAAGACCACCTGTCACCTAAGCACTATGTGCCACTCCTCCTTCCTCCACTGCCACTAAATCCAGCAGCTCCAGCAACAGAGCCGTGGGGTGAGCCCAAGGGACTGGGGATGGCAGCAAGGTCACTGCCAGCCTGTCCCGCCTCTCTGCTCCTCAAATCACCTCCAGCAGGATTCTTTTCTAATGCAGTTGTACTGAGGGAGGATGGACACTTGGCATTTTTCAAAAACCCATCCAAGCCATCCATCTAAAGTCCCTCTGAGAGCAAAAAGTGGGAATCCTGACGCCTTAGGCTTTTGTGCTGCCTGGGCAGGAAGGCTAACTCCTTTATTCAAGCAGCCTTTCCTTACGCTCTGAGGCACCACTTTCTAGAGGAGGAGCTTTGGGAACTGACACAACTCTGCAGCAGAGAGAAGGTTCTGGAAGAACAGGAAGGGCAGGCTTGCCCCCACCCTCACCTCTGCCCTTTTAGTGACTAGTTCATTCACCTGATGCATTTGCCAGGTAGCTTTCTCAGAGTCCTCAATCTAGGTGGTTTCATGGGGCAAATAATCAAATCGGCAAAATATCCTCCAAGGTGGGAGGACACACTGTCTCTAAGACTAAAAAAGTAAAAGCGTCAGATGCTCAAATCCACTGGGATCTGATCCCAGGGGAAGGAACAACACAGAAGAAAAACATGAGTCGAAGAAAACATTATCAGTTTCCTTAAAAAAATATATTAAGTCTTGATGATTAATGAACTAAGTTCTCTAGTCTAATCGTATTTGCCTTGTTAACTAGGAACGGGAGCTTTGTAGCCCTTTCGGTTTTAAATCATTCACTGCAGGGAAGGTTGGGGCAAAATAAAGCAGTGATGCTCATGTCCAGTTCATTTGAAGAGTAGAGGAATTCGCTTTAAAGAACTGCTTCCTCAGCACAACCTCCCCTCCCCCATTTCTAAAAACAAATCCTTTCACACAATTTTCCATGCAAAGGGGGCAGGAAGACGACCCTCTGTAGATCTCAGAGATAGAAATAGGATAGAGAGACAGTGTGGTGAAAGGAAGTATGTTTGTGTCCAAACATCCATTGTTCTTTAAAAAGTTTAATCATAAATGTAACTCATGATTATAAAAAGTCACGCAAATTATAAATGTATACTTTAAAAGTAATGCTGGGATAAAAAGTAGCGCTGGTCATATTCTTTGTTCTTGATTACATGGGTAATATTCCAACTGTGAAATTAATTAAGCTGTATACTTATGTGAATATTTAGATGCTTGCATTTGTATGTCTAATATTATTTATGTATATTATACTCAATTAAAAAAATGATTTGAGAAAGAAGGAAAAATGACATAGACATAAGCAATTAAACATGACAGGTAATGGGCACCCAGGCAATGTGTGACTCAGGGTGCTTTCTTGTTTATATAGTTATCACTTTCTCATGTTCCCTTATTTTGGTTGTTGTGCAATTGCCTGCTAAATATTTACAGTGCTTTCTTCCCTAAGAAGACTCTCCTCAGGGATACATTTTACATGCATTCTGTGGTTTTTAACGTGTCTCAGGAGGCCTGGAAGTGTTAGGAACATAGCAGATGCTCAATAAATATAAAAATAAATCGAGGGGAGGCACTTTATCCATACTCCAATCCTAGTCCCTCCTCAAGAGCCCTAGAGAGCTCTCCTGCCAGATATCTACACACATGGGAACATAATGTATAAAACTAAGCACGGCCGGTAAGCGCCCGAGTACCTGTTTTATTTGGAGCGGAGAACCCAAAGCCTTGGGACGCCACGCTCCCGCCTCCGGCACTGAAAGTGCCGGCAGGTTTCTGCTCTCCAAACGACGAGCTGGCAAATCCCCCAAACGTCTTGGCCCCACTGTTTCCGAACAGGTTAGAGGTATCTGCGGAGATGAAAGATGGGTGAGGGAGATCAGAGGGAGAAAATATCCTTATTAACGTCTTAGAACAGAGAAGGAAGAAACCTCAGCTGGGAGTTTCGGAAGAAGCGAGTGACAGCAGAGTCTGGGATGCAAAAGAGCTGAGCTGAAGAGACACGGACACCTTCTCTGGTTTGCGTGTGAGTCTTGCCCAGTTTTTAATCATTTTGGAACCCAGGCTCAGGGTGTGCTGGCATGACCGCACAGGCCCCAAAATAAAGGAGCAGCAACAGGCTGCAACGGAGAGGCGCCTTTGCATAAACGCACCTGCACTCCCACAGATATCAGGCCCCCCCACCAACAGAGGGCCAACACAGCAGCTTCACATCAGACTGGTTTCTTCTGAGGAATAAGGCTTGTTTTCATCCATCGCCTCACATGATGACCAACTTCAAATTTTGTCAAACTAGAGAAAACAAAGTTAGAGGAAATCCAAACCAAGCGTAATGGCTTCCAGCATTCTGCTTTGGTGGTCGAGTTTGGCATGCGTGCTATTGCTTGGTCTGCTCAGAGAATGGCGGACGAAACAAGAAAAGCCATGCTGCTCCTAACCTCTGGTCTGACAGGAGGTAGGGATATTCTGAGAATGTGAAAGAGGCCAGCAAGGCTTCCAGTCCGATTTCCTCTAAGGTCCCCTAACCTTTTAGATGCTTATCTAGTGGGTCACTCCTTCACATACGCACTGAATCCACTCCAAAGATTAAAGGAAAAAAGGAAACTAACTACTAAAAACCAGGATGGGTGAGAAGTATGTTTGTTTTGCAACCATGTATGGGTGGGTCTTTTATTAAATGAGTTTGTGCCCACAATAAGGCAGGGAGAAACTATCCGAAAATGGGGTGGACGCCCAAAGACAGAGGCAGAAACAGGAAGCCGAAATGATCCGCTCTGCCGGGTAATGCAGAGCCAACTCTGCCACCAGGTGAGAAGCGGGCACATCTGCAAAGGCCAGTCTTCCCCGTGTCAGGTGCTCCTGGCGAAGGAGGTGGGAGGGAGAGCAGGGGAGGGTGGAACTCGCTCTCAGAGTCGAGTTGTTGCAGAGGCAGTCCACCACTGACCTCACAGCCAAGGTCTCCCATCCCGCCCAGTGTGAGAGGCAACTCTGAATACTTCCAGTTGCAACGCTTGACCTCTAACCCAGAAGTGAGCGCCTTATCCCGGGGACATGACCAGCTCACATTTCTAGGTACCAATGATGGAGCCTCGGACCACCACAGGGTCACCTGCTCTGTAAAACTACTGCCAGCAGTTTGGGAGCTTGGCCCTGAATATGTCAGGCGCTGAGAGCGGGCGGGGGTACTCAGCGAGTTCCTTTTCATCACGCTCATTTCGGGTACCACAGGGTTACCTCTCCCCCCGGTGGAAGCCTCTTCCAGTCCCATCTCCTCCTGATGAGCTGGAGGTTTCTCTTGATTCCTTCAATGGCAGTACATCTGACACTAGACACGAAAACAGGCTCCTTGGTCATTCCTCTACTGGAATTTCAAGGACGGAGGGCTGCAATTTTCTGACAGTGTCACTGCTAACAATGCAAAATTTCAAACAGCAAACACACTCAAGGGCACGGTCAGGGGCCAGGTGCCCTCTTGGAGAAATTCAAACTAGAGGAGAAATGATGTGAATGGGCCAGTGATGGGGGCCCTGGCTTCCTGAGGTCAGAGGAGTCTTAGGGCTTCTTGACCCTTTCTCTCTTTAAGAGCCCCTTGTCTTGACGACCGCTGGACTTATCACGGTGATCACTTCTTTAGGTCTACAAATGTTGAATAACTATAGTGTACCCCTGAAACCAATGTAATATTGTATGTTAGGGTATCGTTCAATGAAAACCTTAAAAAAGAAAAAGAATCCTCTGTCTTTGAGATGTTCACAGCATATTATAGTGGAACTAGCATGAGTTTTGCAGTCAGACCTGGCTTAGAATACCTCTTAAGTATGACGCTGGGCAAGAACTTGACCCTCCTAAGTCCCAGTTTCCTCATGCATCACATGGGGCTGGCAGGTGTGACCACGCAAAGCTGCTGTGAAGATAAATGACATAGTACGTGTAGAGCGCCTATGGTAGGTCCTCAGGAAATACATCTTGCCCTGTTTCTTTGACTCTTCTGCCATACCCCAATCATGTTCAATATCATAAAACACAGAGGTCAGCTGCAGACACTGAAATCCTTTTCGTTTTGTGAACATCACGAGAATTCAGCCATTCAAGTTGTAACAGCTGTCATCTGCGGTCTCAGAGGCGCCCAGCATACTGAAAAGTGTTAGGATTTACAATATTTAAGCGGCTCTGAAACAAAGGGGCAAAAAATGATGTCTGCTTCTGTTTCTGTGGCCGACAACGTGCTTCTCAGTTCGCTCCTAATGGCTCCAAAAATGACACGGGCTGCGGTTCTTGAAAACGTGGTCAATAAGAGAATGTTTGGCTGACGCAACAGTATTCGCTGCAGACTCTTCTTCTCTTGTGAGCAGCTGGCCAGTAAGAAAACCTGCCTTTGCAGAGGCGTCCGCTGACCTCCACGTTGGAGGTGACAAGGACAGTGAAACGGGCCTCTCCTGGGCTTCCCCCCTGCTGGCTGGCACAGGGATCCTCTTTGCTCATTTATTTGGCAAAAATACTAGCAGCATCTAACACCAGGGTCTGACCCAATTTAAATTAAATCGCACTTGATAGGAATTTAATAAATAATATCAGAGACCAGGTCCCACGTCATTCTGCAGGTCTCAAGTCCTGAACAAGAATCCAACACGTGCTGACAAAGGGATTCTCAAGAAGCTCTGGTTCGCCCTCCTTTCCAGGTGATTCTTAAAAACCAGTTGCAGAGGGAGCCTTGAGAGCCTAGAAGCCTCATCAAGCGGCGTGGTCATGCTGACACAAACACGCCTTTCAGGCCCCTGCACGGACAGGAAGTGCTCAGCATGGCTGTGACCAGTGACCACTGTCCCTGGACAAGACGCGCGGAGGCAGCAGGTCCTCACAGGCACCAATTCCCAGAGGTGTCGGATCTTAAATGACCCCAGGGGTTCACAGTGTAGCTCTGGTGGAATCTCTGCGGGAGATGGAAAGAAACCTTTATAGAGTGTGGGGTTCTGGCTACAGAGCGTGCCAACGCCACGTAGGTATTCGCAATCTGTCCTTCTTGAAGGGTTATCGCATAGTTCCGGGAACTTCTCAGTGCCGAAGGGGGCCGCTTCGGGACCAGGCAACTTGGGGCCTGCCACAAAGTAACCGCTACTTGCTCAGCTTGTGCTCGGTGGGATATCTATCTGCAAAAACATGTGTGATGCCACGAGGAACGGGCACAGGGCTGTCACAAGGCACGCCTGGGAGGCGTGTCATTACACGGCAAGGCTAGGAAAGTCTCAGGAGGCGACATGATGGAGCACAGCTCGGGAAGCAGGCCCAGGTGAAACCCAGGCCATGCCACTCAATGGCTGTTATCACTGTACGTCCACATCCCTTCTCGGGACCTATTTCCTTATAGGTAAGCAAGGACGGCCACATCTAAAAGCACTGTTGTAAGTGATCAACCACATACACTGAGCATTTGGTACACAGTAGGTGATCAATCTGTTGTCTTGTGAAGGAACAGAATACAAGCGTGGTGGGATTCCAGACTGGGAGAAGTCACTGGGCTCATGAAACCCTCAGGTCAGCTGCACAGAGCAGGAGGCTTCCTCTCATCCTTAAAGGCTGGGCAGGTTCAATGGGCGGGGTGTGTGTGTGTGTGCAGAGGGAGCAGTGAGCCTTGACGCTGAACCAGGGAGGGGTGGGGTGTGTGTCCGTGTGTGAAGGACAGCAAGCAGATGGACTGGCCGAAGCAGAGGGAATGTGTTGGGGGAACTGGGTGTTTCAGGAAAGCGCGAGGGCCAGCTATGGAGGACCCTGAATTTCTGCCTAAGGAGTTGGTTTGCATTTTATGCCAAAGGGCTTTGAGTCGCAATAATGGCAAAATAAAAGTTTTCAGACGCTCACAGTAGAGGAGGCTGGATGCAGGGAGAGGTGTTTGGAGACTACTGTGATACCCCAGGCGATGACGGGGAAAAGAGAAGAAAAGAGGCAGGGAAAACACCGTTTAAGAGACAGTAAGAGAACCAGGGGCATCACGCCACACAGCCCAGGGAAGAGGCGGTGCTTCAAAGCAGCAAATGCTGCAGTCACCCAGCGAAAAGGGGATGAGCGGGGAGCTCTTAGTTCTGTGGCGAGGACACTGCCCTCCCCAGAGGATGCTAGCTCCTTTTCTCCTCCGTTGCCCCTTCCGCTGGTCCTGGACTTGGTCCTAGGGGCTACAGGGGCTCCTGTCCCTTTCACTATCAAATCATACATTTAGTTTTGAAAAATAAAAACGAGGTCGAGTCCTTTCCGTACCCTTTCAGATTCACTTAAACTCCCTTAAAGCATAAAAGTAACTGCCGGGTTACAACTGCCAGCGTTTAGGAGATGAAGATCAGCAGGTGTCTGGTATCAAGGTAGACGGGTTTATTTTAAAACAGAATTAAGGAATTAGAAATGATGGTGTGCCAGTGAAGAGCAGGCTGGGGGGGAGAGGGGGCCAGACTGTAGTGCTGTCCAATCATTCCCATGGTGTCAGTAAATACTCCCTCATGTCACTGTACACGGGGTTGGGGACCAGTGTGCCCGGCTGGCTCTCAGGAGCTGGTACAAGCCAGCTCCAGCCCACCAATGAGAGAAGGCTATTCTTTGACAGCTAAGAGCCGTGGCTTTTGAGATGCATCAGGAGGAAGAGGATTTTTGCAAGGATATGACACCTAAGTTTTAACACGATGGCTAGTAACACAGTCTTGCAGATGACCACCTACCTATGAGATAAACCCACATTTCTAACCAGCACGTTGTCAAGTGCCCATTCTGTGCCAAGTACTGTTTGCCACGTTATGTAAGACGTAGCTGAATTCCAGGTCTGCCACTTTCTGGTTTTGAGACTTAAAAAAACAGCAAAAACACATCCCCTGACCACTAGGGCTTGTTCCATACTGGGAAGTGCAGAGCGCTAGGCAGGAGCGTGTTTTGACAGTACGTGTCTGGAGCCCCGCAACTCTGTGCTGACAGCTGGAGGAAATGCGGGGAAGCCACCCAAGCGTATCTGGCTCTGAACCCTGCTTCCGGGTGGCCCCTTTTTACGTTTTGTCAGTCAGGATTCTGCTTATGTGCTCATGTGCAGAAATAGGTTTTGAAAACTACTAGGCTCGATTTCTGAGACCCCTTCATTCTAGGACCCTGAATTCCTCCAGGCAGAGTGGAAGCTGAACAAAAATGTCTGATTATGTAATTTCACAAGTTAAGAGGTATGTGTCTCTGGATGCTAATCTTTCTTTTTATATACCAGATGGGCAGTGATATCAAAATAATAGATCTGTGAATCCAGGAGACTCAGAGAGTTTTCCTTTTAACTACATGAACCTTGATATTAAGGAAATATCTGTTCTGTCTGGGACATCAGCGCTCGATCCATTAAGATCTTGTACAGAACAACAGATGAGAGAAGCTTCTTGTACAGCATATTAAATGAGAGAAGCTATCATGAAGATGACGGGTTCCCAGCTTCCCAGCTCAGCCTCCATCAGCAGCAAGATATATTTTTTAAAGAATTAAACAAATTTTCATTTCCAACCATGGAGAGACAGGTCCACAAAGAATGTAAAACATCAGCTGGAGAAGAAAGTGTCATCAGAAAGATACAGCTTCAGTTGAAAAGACGACAAAAATGTAAGAGAGAAGTAACGAAGGCCTCAACGTCTGGGTGACGCTCCTCTACAGTAGCTGAATTTCAACGCATAAAGAGCGCTCCACAAATGGACACCCAGATGCGCCTTCCCCGAGCATCCCCAGCGTGTTCTTCTGGCTCATTTATGCCTGTCTGCTCGCATTCACTTCAATCCTAATTCATGTCAACCCTCTCCCTGCAGCTCTGATGTCCTTTCATTATATAGGACATCTCATTAAAAAACCAAAACCAAAAACCCAAATCGAAACAGAGCACACTGCTTTGGGGTATATTTTAAATGGCCCTTATAGGCCTTTTCTTTCCTTGCTACACTTGTCATCGAAGCTCTGACAACCACGAGGATGACAGTGGTGCTGGGGGACAAGGGGTTGGGAAGCTCTCTCTTGACTTACTTGGGGTGGTTGTAGATCCGAAGCCCCCGCTGGCCGAGCTGAAGGGGTTTTTGTTGGCTGCATCCTGGCTGGGTTTCCCGCCAAGGCCGCTGAAGAAGCCTCCCCCTCTTCCAGTATTCCCAGACCCAAACACGCTGCCACTGGAAGAAGACGACTGCTATAAAACAAAAGGGCAGGAAGTGAGACAGGATGAGAGGTCACTGTAAGATGGCAGGCCACATCCGCGGAAAGGCGCGCTCACAGCTGGTACACATGGAAACACAAGCGACCGCTGACCAGCTCTGGTATGGCGGCTCTGACAGCCACAAAGGAAGCTGGACTCTGGACAGGGACTTCCTACAAATGGGAAGCGCTCCAGCGATTCCACAAACACGCCTTACCGTAGGTGGGAACTTTAAATGTCTGCCTGCAGTCTCGGCTGACTCCATGCCGGGGGTAAGCAAGCCAAGCCCTCAAGAGCTCCCCCCATTGAAAAAATCTGAAAACACTTCAAGGTGGTGATGAGCACTATTATTTTGATTCCTCTAGCGTTTGGCTGAACTCATCAGCAACTGATGGCTGGTGATTTACGCTGTCTTTTCTCCCAATTTGTGCACTTTTCGTTCATAATGACTTTCCCAGTAGTGCAGAAATAAGCTTAAATTAGCTCCATTGTTGAAATGATGACCACAGCTGAATTCTGTCCAAGTCTGCACATTTAATGCTCAGAGGATGCTGCTAACTCAGGGCGCATGCTGACTCAAAGCTGTAGCCAGCACCACACACGATTTCTGCTTGGAAATTGGTTCTTGAAGGAAAACCAGTGCTAGATCCAAGGGACCATTAATATTAGTTGTGTGAGATCTCCTTGGCTGATAATGTAAAATAAGACAGGTTTTTTAGAAACGGGTCGCTGTGTACAGGAACCTTTCAGGAGCCCCCTTCAGAGGGGGGCAGAGCGGTGAAGTCGCTCTTCTGTAAAATGGGGAAATACTCCACCCACCTCAAAACAAGGAGTGAATGAAGTGGGCCGAGAAGCGCAGTGCACTTTAGAACAGCACCTGAAATGACAGGCTCCTAAAATGGCTGCTGTTCAGTATTTTCGCAGCCACAATGAATCAATGACCGAGTACTTTCTATGCGCTAGGCACTTTTCTAAGCACTCAAACAAGAAATTATTTAATCCCCATAAAAGCCAAACCTACAGCGGGCCACCTCGGAGACCCCTGCCTCTGCAGCTGCACAGCCAGCCCCTGGTCCCAGCCCCCAACCCTCACTGTTACCTGGACGCTACAATGTAAGTAATGCTCTGCTAACACGACACTCTGTATTCAACAGCAGCTGGAATGACTTTAAAATGGCAGCGAGGTCACTTCACTCCTGTTTCAAAGTTCCATAAAAGACGCTGCAGGATTGGGCCCCTGTCCATCTCTTGACATTATCTTCCATCGTCCCCCCATTTGGTTTTGTTACACTGGTCTGTTGTATCTTGAACACGACAAGCTAATTTTCACCTGAGGGTGATATGCTTAATGTGCGTGCTTGTCTCTCTCACTTTTTCTCCTTCCCCCGCCTTAAACTTTAAATACAACAATAGTAACAGTTTACTCCAACCATTTAATGATGAATAACAGCTTTTTAAAACTTGGAATCTAATCCAATCATAAAAGCATACATAGGCTTGATAACTAGTAACCTGACTTTGAAAGGAAGGAAGCCATGAAGACTAGTGCGTGTGGAAAATACCAGATTTTTTAGCTGACTTCCGTGCATCACGCTAAAACACAGGAAACTGCCAATATATGGACATTGGCGCCCTACCAGAAAACAGCAATTTCAGATGGTTCAACTGAATTTTAAAAATATAATTTGAAAAATGGGCATCTGTAGAAATGCACAGAAGTGGGTTAACACTTCACTGAAGTGAATTGACTTATTACATCCTCACAAGTGGGTTAGAAAGAATCCAACTCATTTTAATTGCTATAAATAACTGTTTCTGAAACTTTAAATTACGGAACATCTCAAAATGTGTAAAAAAAGTAGATGGAAGGGTATACTGGATCCTCCACATACTTATCACCCAGCTCCAACAATGAACTCACAGCCAGGCCAGTTGAGTTTAGCTGTGCCCCCATTTTCTTCCCCTCATCCTTTATTAGTATGAAGCAATCCCAGACATCTTACCATTTCCTCCATTGATTTTCCAATATAAATCTATAAAGCATAAACCATAACCAGAATACCATTATCATGTCTAAAAAATTAACAGTAATTCCTTAATATCATTAAGTAAGGAGTTTGTGTTCAAGTCCAGCCTTATAATATTGCCCAAGAAACCCAAATACAAATCAAATCTAGATCTCATCAAGCCTCCAGACCCATGCACTTCACAGGAACAAGTTGGAAGCTATGCCAAGGGGATGCAGTCAGCAACCAGACCATGGGGAACTCTACAGAACAAATGATCTGCTCTGTTCAACAACTGAATTATGAGGAAAAATACGAGAAAGAGACACGCAATGGTAATTTTTTTTTTTTTTTAAGCTGAGCCCTCCTGCCACCTGTTGGCTGCTCAGCTTGGGCTGGGAATTGTACCGGCAACCCTGTTGCTCAGAGCTCGCACTCTTGAGCGAGCTCTTAACCAACTGAGCCATTGGGCCGGCCCCTAACGGTAATCTTTATAGACTTGAGACCTATCAGCCAATCTCAATGTGTGAACCTGATTTGATCCTAACTCAAAGAAACAAATGTAGAGAGGCATTTACGAGCCTTCTTCAGAAAGCCATGTCCTGACTGTCTAACCTAAGTCATCTTCCCTGATTAATGATCCTGCTTTGTTCTCTTCTAAGTATTTAAAACAAATGATATGAAGTTAAACTGTTTTAATAAAGGCTGACCCCTCCCTCAAACGGAAGCTCTATGAACACGACCCTTTGTCTTCTTCATCACTGAATTCCTGCAGGAATGATTAACTTGGACAGTCCTGGTTCTACAGTTTACTAGCTATGTATTGCCCTTTTAACAACATTAAGTCCTCTCAGCCATGAGCACGGGATGTCCTTCCATTTATTTGGATCATCTTGACTTTTTGTTTAAAATAAACTTTTTTTTTTTAAAGATTTTTATTGGGGAATTGGGGGATGGGAACAGCATTGGGGAGTTGGGGGAAGGGGAACAGACAAGTTGCTGTCCTTTTGTTCTTCAGTCTAGTTGTGGAGGACGTTGCTTCACTGGCCCAAGTTGGCACCATTATTGCGCTCTTCCTGGGCAAGGCAGATCAGTCACCGGCTTCTGGACGGCCGCTCACGCTGGCTGCTGGCTACACACGGTAGCCCATGGCAACTCACTGCAGCAGGGGCTGCAGCCCAGCTCCAGGTTGAGCTGTTGTTCAGCATCTTAGCTGTGGAGGGCAGTGTCACTGGCCCTCATATGTGGGATCCGAACCGGGGCCCTCTGGCATCCCAAGCCAGCTCTTAACCATCGCGCCACTTGGCCAGCCCGTGAGTTTCTTTAAACAATGTTTTTATAGTATTCAAAGTACGAGTATGTTTTTGCCCTTTTGTTAAATTTATTCCTAAATATTTTATTGTTTTTGATGCTATTAAAAATGGAATTGTTTTAATTTCCTTTTTAGATGGTTCGGTGCAAGGCATGGAAATATAATTGATGTTGTTTAGATGGGCACACATAATTGATTTTTATACATTCATCTTGTGTCCTGCAAACTTGCTGAACCCATTTATTAGCTCTAATAGTTTTTTAGTGGATTCCTTAGGGTTTTCATGATCATGTTATCTGCAGGTATAGCTTTACTTCTTCCTTTCCAATCTGGATGCCTTTTATTTCATTTTCTTGCCTAAGTAACCTGGCTAGAATCAGCATATGCTTTTGATACCATGTTGCTCCACGCATCAGTCATTCATCTCTGTTTCTTGCTGAGCTGTATTCCACTGTGTGAGCATGCCAGCATTTACTCTTCTGTGAATGAACATCTGGATTATTCCCTGGTTGGGGCTATCATGAACAACGCTGCTAAGAACACCCTTATAGAAATCTTCTTGTGGACATGTATTTTCATTTCTTTTGGGTAAATACCTAGGATTGGCATTGCTAAACCATAAAATTAGTGTAAGTTTAACTTAATGGTTTTCCATAGCGATTGCACCATTTCCCGCTCCCACCAGCAATGCATTGAGATTTACAGTAGTTGCTCTAGATCTTTTCCACGTTTGGTTTTGTTAGTTCTTAAATTTTAATATTCCAGTGGGTATGAAATCTTATCTCACTGTGGTTTTCATTTGCATTTCTCTGCTAACACTGCTGAGCAAGTTTTCTCACATCCTCTTTTGCAAGGTATCTGTCCAAACATTTTGCTTATTTTTAAAATTGGGCTGTCTTTTTACTTCTGATTCAGAGTTCTTTATATATCCTGGACAGAAGCCCTTTGGTTTAATGTATGTATTATAAATATTTTCTCCCGGTCTATGCGCTGCCTTTTCATTTTTATAACAGGTCTCTTGATGAGCATTAGTTTGTAATTTTGATGAGGTCCAGTTTTTCAATTTTCTTCTTTTATGGGTAGTGCCTTTTATGTTCTAAGAAATCTTTGTCTACCTAATGGTTTCTAACAGTGTCATTACTGACATTTTGGGGTGGGTAATTGTTTTGCAGGCCTGTAGGATGTTTTAGCAGGATTGCTGGCCTCTGTCAATTAGTCATTATATTCCCCACTTATGAGGACCAAACATGTCTCCAGACATCGAGAATGTGAAATTCCCGGGGGGCAAAATCGATACCCACTGAGAATCACTGGTCTACTCCCAGGTAGCAGATATTTTTGCTATGGTTGTCATCTATTTAATATCTCACTATACCTACACAATACATCGTTTCCCTGTATGTTGTCTTTTTTCTTTAGCTGCTTAAAATTTTTCTTTTAACGTGGTTTCCAGAAGCTTAACTATGACGTGTGTAGATGTGGTTTTCTAGTATTCATTCCGTTTGGGATGTGCAGTTTCTTGGATTTGTGGATTCCTGTTTTTCAACAAATTTAGAAAAGGTTGGCCATTGTTTATTCAAAAAAAATTTTTTTTTTAAAGATTTTTATTGGGGAATTGCGGGGATGGGAACAGTGCTGGGGAATGGGGGAAGGGGAACAGACAAGCTGCTGTCGTT